CATATTGATCTTAACGATACAATTTTTTTAATTGTCATAAAATTTTCTATTTAATTATGTCAATGTCAAACTTACCAATTGAGCTAAAAGTTATGGTAAAATAATTTTTTTTTTTTTATTATAAACATTTACAACAATCAACTTTAAACGATTAACAAAATAGATTAAATATGTTATTTTCCTTATTTTTAATATATTAATAATCAAAATCAGTATTAATTTAAAACAATTTTTTTTTCTTAATCATTTTTTAATAATAAGTAATAATACTAAAATTTAGATTGAAAAAGCCTAATTGCATATTTAGAACATCGAAAAAAGTTGATTTAGAAAATATATTTTTGTTTCTGATGCAAGTTCCTTGTAGTCCAGTGTATTTATTCATAAGTAACAAAAAGTTTTTATTAAAAAGTATTGCATCAATCTCTTTATATTTTTATACACGTTAAAAGTAAAGGAATATACAACTACTTTATTATTTTTATAATTTCTGTTGTGTGTTAACTTTGTTAACTGTTATAACTTTATCAAAAATGACCAAATCAGTATAATTTTTTTTTTATATAGATGCATGTTTTTACCTATCATTTGATTTTTTTTTTATAAATCAGACCCTTTACCACCACACAAGAGGGATTCAAAATGACAACTTTTTTTTTTTAGTTAAAGCAAATCATTAAAATTAATTCAGTTCTGGATATTTCATTTNTTTTTTTTAGTTAAAGTAAATCATTAAAATTAATTCAGTTCTGGATATTTCATTTGTATAATCTTTTTAAATACCAAAAGTTACTTAGAAATGATTACTATGATTTCTATTTGAGTGTTCTATTACGATAAAAATGCAAAAAAATAATGAGTTTTGCTGATAAATATACTGTAAATAGTAATTATAAAATATCCTGACTGCATATTAATCTTAAAAATACCATTTTTTTAATTATCATAAAATTTTCTATTTAATGATGTCAATTTCAAACTTATAATTGAGCTAAAAGTTATGGCAACATATTCAATTTTTTTTACGATAAACTTTCACAATAACTTTTCATCAACTTTAAAGGACCAAAAAATAGGTTAAAAATGAAATTTTGGACTGATTACTTTTAATATATTAAAAATCAAATCACTAATAATTTGAAAACAATTTTTTTTTTTTA